AGCCTCCCCCAACATTTGAGGCACCTGAATGGAGCGAACGAACGGGAACACAGGGTCACAGTGCATCTTGTAATTCCGTGTACCTGACCTGTCCACTTTGCCGTAGTTGTCGTAGTCGTTGTTGCGTTGCCATGTGTGTGTCGTCTGCAACCTTTCTTTGCTGTGAAGTCAGTACAAACAGTACAGTACAGCACAGTACATACTCGGCTTGCATCTCCCCTGTGCCCAAGGTTAGTACCTACCAACCCCGGCTAGTCCGGTACAAGCAACAACACAGCACGCAAGGTACGACAGCATGTCTTTAGCTAGTGGAGCCCCGGCCCTCTCTAATCCTGGGGGCCTGGGCAGGTGGAGCTGCAGCGGTGCACTCTGCAGTCTGCAGCAGGCAACTAGTAACTCCAAGTACACCCCCGTCAATTCTAGACCTGGCTCTCACTCGCTGTCTCGCCTGCCTTGGAAGGGGTGGACAGTATGAGCGGGCAATCATCCACCCTCACTAATCCAACCTGTCCTGTCTTGACTTATCCCATGGCCCATCCATCCACCATCCACCGTCCGCCATCTATCCATCCCTCTCCACTTGGTTCTATCACCGCCTTTCCCTTCTCACTCACCTCACCCTCTCTCTTCTCTTGTCTTCTTTCCCCTGCTTTCTTATCATCGTCTATCCACCTCTCTTTCCCTTCATTTGTACGCTTTCCGCATCTTCAAAGGCCTTCTTTCTTCTCGAGCTTGCCACTCTTCTCTCACTATCTCATCTCTTCTGTCTATTCATATCTAATCCAACCCATCCCATCCCACCCATCACACCACATCAATCACCGTTCTACTCACCGAACGAATCCGCCTCGCCTCGCCTCGCCATCGCCACCTTATCTCCCGAAGCAAGCACTCAACCCCAACGCTTATCGCGGTGATTCATCAACAGCCAACCACTCAATCACCAATCGATCGCACAAAGCTTGAGCTATACAAACTACAACGAGAAGAAGAAGCGTCCTTGACTTGTGTTGTCTGCCGCTGCATTAGACCAAGTCCTTGTTCGCCTAGACCTCCTATTACATCGCTCCGTTACCGCATCCCTTGAGCTGCATATCACGAGCCTCGGCCAGCAATCAAAAGCGCTTTTACAGTCGGACACGTCACATAGAAAGATCGTCTTGTGCTGCACTGAGTCGACGAGGGTTTCCTCATTGACTTGCGTTTTACTTTCCGGTCTCTCACTCAATATCGCAACTTGGCCTAATTGGCCCTCGTGACTCAACCGTTACCGGCCGATCATTAGGAACTCCGCCCCGGGCGAGCTCCGCTCCCCTACCCCCCGGTGCCAGTCTGACTGGTCCGACACGTCGTTTTATCGGCATCGTCGAATCCGGTTCCCTCTCTATTAATACGACTTCACCTGGTCTTGACCAAAACTCAATTCTCCGGTCGACCTCGTCCCAAGTTGACTTCCATCACCTCTCATCGTCAGAGTCATTCTTTTTTCAAGTTACAAAAAAACGTACCCATGTTATTATAACGAATTTCATTTTCCTTGTCTTCAACTTCTTCGGCCACTTCGGTCTTCGCAACTCACCGTCACGACAATTCGATAATCATTTCTTTTGTTAAGCCTCTATCGAATACCCTCAAATGAGCCTCTGAATACCAACGAACAACAACACCACTATCAACAACTCGAATTTGCTCAACTCTGCTTTCATCATTACGACACTGTACATTGCTCATATACCGCGAACATCAATTTTCTTGCATCGGCTCAAGCGTTTCTAAAGAGCTTCAACATCGTTCTCCGGACTTCCTACATTCCCGGCTATTGACAAACACCAAAAAATCGTTTGTACGACTATTCCCCTTTTATTTCTATTCTTTTTTGAACATTTTTATTTCTTCTTTCGCCATGGAATGCCTCAAGGACAAGTTCGTTGGCGGTGCCCTTCTCAAGGGACGTTATCAGACCATCTCCCCTCTCAACCATGGATCTTTTGGTATGGTGTTTAAGGCCCAGGATCTTGTAACCAATGAGCCTGTTGCTATCAAGTGCCTCACCAAGAGAAGTGCCTGCCCAGATGCCGATTTCGATTTCGCTATTGACGAGAAGTCGGAGGAACAGGCTCTCCACAGCCGCCTCGGAACCCACCGAAACATCGTCAACCTCATTGATTCGTTCGAGACCGATTCTCACATCTATCTCGTCCTCGAGTTTTGTGGTCAGGGCGATCTTTACGAAGCTATCCGAAAAGGTCACGGTCCTCTAGAGACGGAGCATGTTCGCCAATTCATGATCGAGCTCATCGATGCCGTTGATTACATGCACTCTAAGGGAGTCTACCATCGCGATATCAAGCCCGAGAACATCTTCCTCACTCAGGATGGTGCCATGAAGCTTGGCGATTTCGGTCTGGCAACTACAGAGAAGTGGTCTTACGAGATGACTGTTGGCAGTGATCGTTACATGGCTCCTGAACAGTTCGACTCGGCTGGCGCCGGTTACTCGCCTGCCGAAGCGGATATCTGGGCCATTGGTATCTGCCTGCTCAACATCCTCTTCTCTCGCAATCCTTTCACCACTCCTACCGAGGCTGATCCCCTCTTCCTCGACTACTCCCGGGACAAGCAGTCCTTATTCGACGTCTTCCCCTCCATGTCTCAGGATACGTATGAGGTCCTCGTGCAGTGCATGAACCTTGACCCAAGGCGACGCTCACTAGAGGGTGCCCGTGAAGCTCTGCTCCGCGTTGTCACGTTCACCACCGATGACGAGGATGATGATGAGTACTGTGGTGCCGAGTCTCCCAACGTGGCCACCGCCAACCGCGAGCCTCTCCGCACCCCTTCAATCCAGTCCCCTGCCGTTGATACCGGTGCTTTCCCCTGGGCCAAGGCTCTCCATGGTACCACTCATCTTGGTCGTCAACTCAGTGTCATTCCCGATGACGAGAGTTACACCGAGGAGCTCTTCCCTAAGTCAGAAGCGACTACCACTGACTGGTGCTTTGCCAACATGCAGACCCCTATGTCCTCTGTTTACGACTCTCACTTGGGCGCCTCCATGAAGTCTATGGCCATCAAGCCCACTGCCCGATTCAATCGATCTTCGGCAACTGCTGGCTCCCTCCCAATCAACATGGCCAAGCCTAAGCCAGCTATGTCCATGGTCTTTGGTCGACGTCAGGAAACTGTCTCTAAGAGCTGGAGTGACATGTGGGACGAGGATGAGGAAGAGGAGGAAATGGAACAGCAGCGACAGATGCTCCAGGAGCTCAATGCCAGGACCTGGAGTCAGGAGAGTAAGGAGGAGAAGAAGGTAGTGGAGGAGGAGGAGGAGGAACAGGTCACGAAGACCGCCATTGTACAGCCTGAACCCGAGCCGGTGTCGCACACTCACAACATCAAGGGTGATGTGGATGATGACTTGGTCGCTGATGGCTTCTTCTTCCAGGAAGCCCCGACCCCCAAGCCTCAGCAAATCACCATCACTCCTCATTACTCGCACTCGCCCATGAGCAAACCGAGAAGTTCTCTGGACAAGTGGGCCGCATTGGGTGAGCGACGCCGCGGTCAAACTTCTACTTTGGATTCTATTAAGTCAGTGGACTTCTCTAAGCCACGACGACACAATTTTGGTTTTGGATACAACAAATCTTATGAAGCGGGCGTTTGGGATCATTCTAATTATCACCACAAATTTGGGGCCGCTAAAGAACGGTCTAACAGCAAGGAATGTCCCTGGAACAAGGGCAGAGATTGGAACTGGCGTCGGGATCGGCGCACCGATCTTGGAGACGTTGAGTGGGTTGGAGGTTGGTAAATGGGATTGACTCCCATCAGCCTTCAAATGTAGTTTGGCCGTCTTGAGTCCCTGGCGCGATACTCGAAGATATTTCGGGCGTTGCTTGGATTATGATGAGAGCCTTACTCGCTTTCTGCGTATAGGATATTCTAGAATAATAAATACCAGAAGTACCCACTCAAACACTATCTATTCATCTTGCCTATGTGAAGTCTTTGTTTCGTTTCCCTATACTAACTTGCCGTTATAATCTACTGGACATATCTCACTTCTCAGTTGTCTAATGTTTTCCTAAGCATAGACACATATAGCTTCACTCGATACTAGGCACAATGTCATGCCCAGGTTTTGCCTCTTGACCTTGCGCAACTTTGGCTAAAGGCAGCATGGCACGATACCAATGCACACTCCCAGACCAAGACAGGTTTCCTGCTCCCTAGGCCATCGACTAGTAGTGACTAACATGCAGCTACACTCATGACAATTCTAAACCAAAATAGGTATACGACTCGCAATCCATCCCCGGACGGCCCGATCGGCCTGTTTCCTCGGGACTCGTCAATTCTCCTACCCATTGTTACCGCTTCTCTCGTTCCCCGGAAGGTCGGATTGGATGAGAGCGAACGAAGCCATGGCGTGACGAAACAAGTTGAGAGAGGGGTCGGGGCTGGGGTATGGCATGTCATGTCATGGGAGCGGCAGTTGGGGGATCAGCGGCGGGGTGAAGAACTGCAGAGATGAACTTAGGAGAGACAGGAGACATTGGCAAGGTGGTCTTGATTGTACTTGGAATTATGTATCGACAATGATGGTTAGGTATGCTCATTACGTCTCGAGAGACTCAATTCTCAAGTATTGTCTGATTATCAGGAACATGAGGAGGTTCACTGATGACGCTGCCACTCACACAAGCCAAGATACGGATAAAAAGGAGATGAGGGTAAATGGATATGCACACTGTGGTGCCGTCATGCGTGATGTAAGTGTGTGAAGTTAAAGCGGTGAAACATCACATATGTATCTCACAACAAATGTGAGAAAAGTGTTGGTAAAAACAAATAGAGCTCGGAAGCTCATTGGCAACGTATTATTCATGGTCCTATAATACTTCTCGTAAAGTAAATGACGATGCGATTGCTTGGGACATAACCCACAAATGCGTGACAACTCCAGTAGATGCCTTTCATACTCAAACAAACACAGTCTAGTCAGCGCCAATGAGATGCTTGGGCAAGAATGTCCAGATTGTTCCCAACGTGCCAAGGATGGCAAACACAACCAGTAGAATAGCAGAAACAATCCTTTCGCGCACTGTCACATCCTGCCAGTACAATTTCAAGTAGAATGAGATGGGCAGAATGATAGAAATGAGTGTGCAAAGGGCCGCACCGAGGAACGCACACACAGAGTCGAATGCCGGGAAGACAATAGAGATGAACAAGAGAAGAATGACGACGAAAACGCGCACGAGGCCTCGTACTGACTTTGTGACCAGAACTGAGGAACGAGTAGGCTGGCTGTGAGGCTGGTCATGATGGTGATGGTGTTGATCGTGAACTCCACAGATGACGTCCAAAGTCGTGATGATGGGGCGAGCGTTGAGAGGGATCTTTGTCAAAGGAATGATAGCAATGAAGATTGACATGATGATCTTCAGAGCGTCAGGATAGCCCTTTGATTTGAGAATGTTGGAGGTGATGGCGTCCTTGATACCATCACCAAACATTAGGAGACCAATGACAGCCAGGCATGTATCCACGATGTACTAAGCAAGTCAGAGAAGCTTCCAAAATATGAAGACACTATATTATACTCACAGAGAAGGAAAAGGTAACATTAACGGCCTTGCCCCATTTGTAAGGGTGACGCATGTCACGATAGATCTGGAATGCTTTAGCTCAAGTGTCCAACTGGACTTGACATCGGTATAACTTACGGATGGAAAAACAGAGTGCGCACCCCAAGGGCTTGCGAGGAGACCGTAGGCAAGAGGCACAGCAAGCCAATTCTCGGGGAATAGATAGGTTGTTGCTGGCTCTCGCAGTGAACCAGGATAGTGAGGTTTGTACAGGCCATCAATAATGACAATCACGACAACTGTGTCATATTTAGCAAATGCGTATTGGGGACTGACAAATGATGATGTACTCACTGCAGAAGGTCGAGAAAATACCAACAACGCTTGTGTAACTCAAGAGGCGCAAAGGCAACGCATTCAGGACCAGAACCATGACAGAAGCTACAACCTTCCATGTGTTGACGCTCGCAAGACCCGGAAGTAACAGACTGAGCGAGTCGGCAAAGAGGATCACCAAAGCGACACAGGCTGCTATCAACTCAAGACTGAAAAGGGCAGAAACAATGACCCGCGCTCGGGTTCCAAACGAGATGTACGCCAGGTCGGAATACGTAATGAGACTGGGGTCAAAATCCATGCACTTGGCCAGCAGCTTGCCGGTGTACGACGTAACAGCCGCTGTCAGAGTGAGAAGAAACAGGCCGGGGATCCAACCTGTCATCTGCAGGGCCAGTGGGAGACTGAGTAACCCGACACCGATTAGGGCATTGATCGAGTTGAAGACGGACTGAGGAAGAGTGCTCTGGCCTTCAACAGCAAGTACAACCTTATTGCCCTGCTTAACCTCTTTGACCAGGATGGGCTGGTGTTCGCCATGAGCTGCACCCTCGCCCTCTTCTTCTTCTTCATCAGCTACACCCCAGCCGCTGCCCTCACTGAACGAAATGCGATGGCGCGAGCTCCTGTCCATTGTTCCAAAAGGAGAAGAGTCTCGGAACGAACCATAGCTTCCAACAATATCGGGAGCTGCAAGGTGAGGCGGGACGGCGAAGATACTTGATCGGGGTGACCCAACAGGGGATGAGCCAGCTTCGACATCAAGTAGAGGCTTCGTCTCGCCATCACGATGTGGGATCCTCATTGACCTCGGTGAGGACTCAATGGCTGAGCTTGGCTCGCCGTTCGCATGCGAAGACGAGGCATCAAGATGTTGGCGCAAAAGACCCGATTGTTGTTGCGACGATCCTTGGACATGGCTGCGACCATACTGAAGGTCTTCTGTATCTTGCTCTGGCGCAAGAACAAAGCTCGGTCGGCGAGGAATAACCTCAGGAAATCCTGCTGCTCGCTGCCAACTCCGGGCGAAAGATCGGAAACTGTTTACACCACCAATGTCTGCGATTGCTGCCAACTGGTACGTGACGGAAGACCTAAAAAAAAAAATTATTAGCTACAAAACCCAATTGATGAATTCTCATAGATTAGACATACCGCCTTCGCGGCCTCGAAAATCCTTCACCATTTTCATGGTCGCCAGTTTCGTCGCCTTCGTCGTCCACAAGAGCTTGTTCGCGCTCAAGCATGCTGTCGGTCACGCTTCCCCGAGGCGAAGCTCCCCCTTGGTAGTCATCCCAGCTCGTAGGATTCCGCGCCGGAGACATTGTAATCGTGTATCGCCGCCAACTTCACGTTTGGTTTTGGTATGTCCTTCTCGTCGTGTTCCGCGTTGCCTGATTACACCCAAGAAGGCACTCTGTGCTTCTTAACAATCCTCCTGGACCGCCAAGTTAAGCGTCAGGGTGGCGAAGGCTGCAGAAAAAACTAGAAAGTTGGAAGGATGGTTGCAATCAAGCAAGGTATGCAACGCAACAGCGGACAGGGTCTGCAGACTCGGCCAAATTGACGAGATTTCGCCAACTGTCGACGAACAGTTTGAAGAGGTGCAAGGGGGAAAAGGAAAGGAATTGAGAGGAAGCAGACAAGCGGACATACAAGAGAAAGAGGGCAGACTCGGCTCAGGGTCATATGGCACGCGGCTCAACTTGGACCATAGTGGAAGTGGGCGCGCCAACAGACGAAGGACATGACGCTTATCGCAGCCAAGGATAGTTCAAGAACGCCTGTGCCCTGTGCACACGATAGCCGATGGTCAGCGGCTCCTCGGTTTGGGCTTTGGTTTTGGATTTGAGCTTGTAATTGGGTTGGCAGGGTTGGATGGAACCAGCAGGGGGTCGGGTCGGGTTGCTGATAGATACCAGGAACCAGTTCTTCTACGCACCAGGCATGATAAGACGTTTGTTTGACTAAACATGCGGTCGTCTCAATCTACAGGACCCTCGATAGCTGCAGTTGAGCGCCACTAGGTTGCTTAGCCTGTTCTCGGGGGTTGATGGAGGGTCAGGTCTGGTAACAGCACCAACTGCCGGAGAAATACGTATAAATGATAGGACAATGTTCCAAGCGTACAGGCGACAAGCAACCAATGGCTGACTAGAACGAGCAACGTCAACACCAAAGGAATGTCTCGCCGTTTCGTAGGACAACAACGCTCAAAGTCTCACTCATGAGATGGGCTATCATGACTGACAAGACAACCTAACTAAGGTAATGGAATGGCCTAACTTCTAAGTTAGCAGCTAGGGTTGGCGGTTGTACCCGCTTGTGTGCAGTCGCAGAGACATCGTCGTTGCACCGAACCCCACCTGTAATTCAACTTCTGTGCAGCTCTAACAGGCTTGACGGGATATGGCTTCGTTTTGGGTATGGGGTGGTGGACGCTCGACGCTCGATGGTGGAGAAATGTGCTAGGGGCTCACGAGACCAGATCCAAGGCAATAACTAACTAATATGTAAGAGACTGTCTGCAAGCCGTTGTTTGCGGGCGCAGATGTTGTAAGGTCATGTCATATTTTGCTGATTGTCGATGTTATTTGAAAGAGTAATAACACAAGTAAAGACACAGCGTCAATCTTGTTCTGATGTTACATTACGTCCATGCATTGCGAATGCAAACCACAGCAGGAACCAGGTTGAACGCACCTGCCATACACCTAACCCATCATCATCTGACCTCACCTCACCTTATTCCAACCTACACCTACAGCATGCATGACCTACTACTTACGTATGAGGAACTTCGATTGCAGAGCAGCAAAACTATGCGCAAGAATAGAACAAACAATTCAAGCCTACCTAGAATTGAGAAACGGCATTTGTTTACACTATATTTCGCGGAAACCATAATTCGAACACCGATCAAATCACCACTAATTACTCCGCGGTTGCTACCTTGTGAACTCAGATCTTTCTTATCTTATCGCAACTAAAAGTTACTCCGACCTCTCAACTTCATCCATCCATCTCTATAACAAATTCAACGTCGCTCTCCATATTCGAAATCATACTACCTAGGTAGTGAACCTTTCGGCCGAATATCGGACTTACACAGTCTCTCTACCAGACCAATTATCAATAATGCTCACACATCATCTACCTCCATCATGACAACTCCTCCCGATCCCGCCCTCTTAGCGACAACCAACGACTCGCTCGCGCCTCTCATCCCCATCCTCAATGGTTTCGCTCATCGTCACAAGAACCAGCACTCTTCCACGCACTGGTGGTCCTCCTTCTCTATACTACGCCGCGCAGTCCGCAACCTCGTCAACGACCTCAACTCACGGCCTAGAAAGGTCAAATCTGGCGGTGTCAAGCGTGATGTCCATCCCGCTCTTGCGCGCGCAAAATGGATGATGCGCCATGTGGTCCCTGGCGCTTTCGTGTAGGTCAACTACTTGCTAGCATGTCTTCACTCTTTGTAGATGGGTAGCTAATCGCATGCTTGTTTCTACGCACAGCACTTTCTCTCAACTTGCAGCTGATAACCAGCATGCGCCTCTCGGGCTACTCCTCCTCTCAGTTCTTGCTCGAACCAACACTATACTCTCCCAACTTGTCCCTGACCACGACCACGACCCTCCAATCTCGAGTAGTGCAAAGCCAATGCCTTCGGAGCCAAGTAAACATGAGACATCCGATTTAAGAGCGGACGACGCACCTAATGCCGGAGTGGATATGGGCGTAGCCATTTCGCGCGAAGAGCTTATGTCAACCCAGAAGAAAACGAAACCAGTACCAGACTCCCGCTCGAAAGACCTCAAGCTGAAAGAATACGAGACCAAAACGACACATATAGACACCAAGAGGATTCCGTCCAAAAGTGACACCATAGACAAACCAAGAAAGAAAACGAAGAGCAGTGATGAATTGTCTAGTCTCTTCGGCTCTCTTTCATCGAAAAATGGCGCTGCAAATAAGCCCAAAAAGAAAAAGAAGAAAGGCGACGCATTTTCCAGCCTCTTCGACTCTCTATGACGATATTATGTCATTTACTATACACACATTTCGAGTTTGTACAGCTTCGAATACATATGACGAACAATAACCTTGTCAGCAACCACTACAAATACAGCAAACTGTTCAAGGACTGGTGATTTTCATTGTAACACACTGCAAAATTAGAAACAAAAAAACTGCAAACGAGTAGGTATGGTCCACTCTACGTTCATCCTGCTCTCCAAATTCCCCATGTCCCTGTGCGCCTCTTTGGAAGATCATGCTTCGCGCCGTAAGTTGAGCGTGTGGAGCTTGCTTCCTGTATCCGATATCCAAGTAACAAGAATTTCTGTCGCTCACTCTGTTTAGCCACCACGTGAAAAGCAGAATGCTTCCCCTCAAAGATATCCGTCCCAGTACAGCCACCGCCGCCAAGCACATCACTTTTCTCCGTCATGTATCAGTTCGCCCTTGTTCATACCCATGTCCTTCTCTAGGCACAGCATCTAAAAAGCAACCCATTGAGCCGGTTCCTTGTTTAGTCAGGAATAGGGACGGTAAGACCAGATACGAGCCTTCATGTCGCCAGAGCCAGTGGCAAAGTATCTTCCTTGCGGGCTAGGTGCAACACTGATAACGGAGTTCTTATGTCCTTGCAGCATGAGTTGCGTCGTACCCGTTCTAGGGTCCCAGAACTGGACACCACGGTCCTTGGAACCAGAAAGTACCCAGTTGGCCTCGGGGGTGAGAGCAACTGATAGAACAAAATCGCGGTGACCCTCGAAGGTTTTGACGCACTTGCCACCCTTGGGACCAGGCTGGTTTCCTTGACGAGGGGCGCTGAGCTCCCACATCTTGATAGTCCTGTCGAGACTGCCAGAAACCAGGTCCTTACCGCTGGGCGAGAAGGCAACCGAGTAGACACTATCCTTGTGGCCATCAGGTCCTTCCAGACGCTCGACAAGGAAGCCGGAATGGATGTCCCATACACGTACACTCTTGTCGAGTGAGCCTGCAGCAACGAATTGGGTATCAGGAGAGATGGCGACAGTCGTGACGCCATCCTCTATTGTCAGAGTGAGAGTGTTTGTGCCTTGTTCAATATCCCACAGGCGTACAGTTCTATCGCCACTGCCTGAGGCAATTGTCCGGCCATCACGAGCAAAGTCCAGCGAGTAAATGTCTTGCTCGTGACCAGAGAAATGATTTCGAATGGTTCGCGTTTGGATATCCCACACCTAACCAATATTAGCAGGTAGAACATGTTTTGCGTTTCTGACACAACTTACTCGAATCAACTTATCTTCAGCACCAGTAGCAAGATAGCGACCATCGGGACTAAAGCAGACACTGCGAATGTAGAGATCGGCGCTCATATCGGAAGCATTGTGGTCCTCAAGCACACAAACCTTTTCACCAGTTTGGACATCAAAGATCTGGGCAGATCGATTGCAACCAGTTGCAACATACTTGCCATCGTGACTGAACCTGACACAGCACACGACACTCTCGTGGTTGAGAGAGTGGACGAGGTCCACATCCAAGACACGCTGGACCTGAGGGTTGAAGATCGCATACCAATCCTGCCCAGTCTTCTTATTGTGAGGGGCCACGGAGTCGACTTCGAGATCTCCAAGAGCGTTGCCAACGGCGGGAGCATGTGGTCCCCCCATTCGACCGTGTTCGGGAGTCGGATGGCTAACTTGAGGGGAGGCTGCACTTCCAGGGTAAGGCACGGGGGTATTGACCTGGGGTGTAGCAGGTCCGACGGCACCTGGTGGACGACCGATACCCCTTCTACCGGGGCCGGGAGAGGCGGTGCTCTGCGGCTGGGGGCCCATCCCATTGGAAACGGGGCCCGGAGGATAGTTCTGAGAGTAAGGTGCTTGCTGCGCGTTGGGGTGAGGAGGGGGGACGGGAAGTCCAGGAGGCCCTTGGCCCATTTGGTGCTGAGGTCCCAGCGGCTGCTCCTGAGGAGGGGCATGTCCCTGCTGCGTTTGCTGCTGCTGTTGTGCACCCTGGGGTTGGCCTGGCTGACCCTGCTGCTGGCCTGGCTGAGGAGGAACGAGACCTCCCTGGCTACCGCCAGCCATGATGCCACTGAAAAGACCATTGCCGGGAGCAATAGAAGGAGGCTGCTGGGAGGGGGCAGCATGTTGAGGCGGGCCGGGAATGCCAGGCTGGATGCCCTTTCGAGCAGCCTCGAGTTGGTGTCGCAGAGCACTGATCTCATCCTCATATCTGTGATTCGAGAGGTTAGTGAGGAACGTATAAATTACTGCCGCGCAAATATGGGCTTACTTCTGCTTGAGTTGGAGATGAGTTTGTTCCATCTGATAGACCTTTTCACGGACCAGTTGCATTTCACTGACTTGCGCGGCAACTAAAGATACAAATGTGTTAGCTGGGGTGAAGGAGATAACGCGATATGAGCTATCGCCGTACGAGTAGTGGACATACTCTGATGCTCGTAGTTTTCCGTCGCGCGCATCTGAGTATCAAACTCGACCCTAATCTGTTCAAGCAACTCGTTCAGCCGAGTGGAATTGCCTTGGGGGCCGCCCCCCATGGCGCGATGCGGATACATCGACATTGCGCAAGGCGGTTCTCAGCGATGAGTAACAAAGGTCGAAAACGAGGCTCGTTGAGACGAAGGTCAATTGCGGAGAGGTCGACGATAAATCGAAATTGTTTATCGCGCTACGCTTCGTTAACTCGGCGTCGTCGAGGAGTTGGCGCGCGAGGCTGGGTGCCAAGTCAAGATTGGTTGAGGATGCTGGCGTTGGCTACCGACGCAAGGCAACTAATTACAGACGCGAACCAAGGAACGCGAACTGGACAGATGCCGATAAAAAGGAAGCGTGTGAACGCCCTTGATGAGCAAGGGCCAGCTCAGATAGTCGTGGGATATGATGTGCGCCGACGGCGTTGGGCAGTTGTCGACGTTTCGGGTAAGATGTGATTAATTGTGATGATGTTTTGATGGAAGAGTAAGAGGGAGAAAAAAAGACGAGGCCTGGCCGAGGAGGAAACGGAAGCGAGTGGTGCTGAAGCAAGAATCCGACTAAAGCATGGACGTAGTGCATGGGTACCTTAGTAGATATCAGCCTCTAGCGGCTAGCCTCCCAGTGGGTCCCCACCCTCTGAGCCAGGTGGGTGCTAGGCGGTCCGGGGCAATCTGCTGGCTCCATTTGGGCGGGGCTGCCCTGTGGCTGCATTGGTTGGTAGGTTTACTACAAGTACACCTTGTAACGCCTCAAAGCCTCAACACCTCCCCTTGAAGTCCCCCTTCGTCTGTATTTCTCATTACGGCTTTTGGTCCTTTCGCCTGACGCTGTGACACCCTCTTCTTCTTTTTTTTTTTTTTTTTTTCCTGACGACAGTCTAAGACGGGTAGTTAGCGCACGCCCTTTTGCCTCGTGCTCCCCCTCCCTGTCACAAACCTAACCTTGGCGCTTTGAGAAGTGCCACTCTGCAGCAGAACGAACACTACACTACACTACCTTACGCCACAGGTCCCAGAGTGTTTATTGGAAGCGGGATCCCCTCCAGTCTCACAAGAAACTCGATTGCTGTTGGGGATGTGTGAAAGGGCGGGCAGAGAGAGGTTTGTTTGGCTCTAGTGCATGGATATTACGGGAATTCCTATTTTGGACCACGATTGGTATTATTCTCGGATCTTTGGCCGAGACTACCACCACCCTTGCCCTGATCTTGACTTTGCGGATCGTTCATACCAACTAACTACCTATTCTCCATCATAAACTGAGTTTATGGCAAGTGAAGCCAGAGAGTTTGTCGTGGCGCAGATCATACTGCTGCCAAAGGTTCGAGTTTCTGGAGTCGGTGGGAAGTCGATTATTGTTCATGGCAACAACTGGAGAACCATGCAAGTTAAAATAAGTTTAGCTCTCTCCTCACAACAACCCTTTCCCACCACATACATGCTGTCCCTTATTAGCTCCAAGATGCTTCCTCCGAGCCAATTAAGTTACGAGGAGTGGACTGTACTCCTGTGTCTAACTATCGTCTGCAGACCTTGCTTGCATCTGTGACAACACAACACAGCACAGCAAAGCACAGCACCACTGAACACAACAGAGCCGCGCCACCTTCAAGCACATACATACATAAAACGGAAGTGGCAGGCAAGTCTCGTCGGATTTGACCAGTTTTGTGTGACATTCTGTGCGACGTTTAATGGAAGGTGACTGGTGCCACATGCCTCATCCTCTCGCGAATGTCATGTATCGTTAGTCATTGTCAAGAATGATGAGTTGCGAGTGGATGATAGAGAACCGTAAGTGGCATCAAGATTCATGTTTGAGGGTTTATTCGGTCTGCTTTGGTTGAGTAACGTCACCATATTCGGGCATTTTCGATTCTGACCAGAAAGTTGTTGGGCGACACACGACTCACAACGGCTCAGAAAATGGTGATAAGGCTTGAGTATCTGACTCGGGAGAGATTAATTCTAAGTATCGCGCAGCTGGCCTTTGTCATCATCCTCAACCCACCTGCGGGGTCGGATGCCTAAGGTAGGTGCTCATATATCCGACATGTACGCAGTCAATAAATTCATCACACACACATCTTAAATCGTGACATACCATATTGTCACTCATGATCTCTTTGGTTATACTTTATTCTCAGTAAAACCCTTCAGCTCACTCTTTGTAACATATTGGTTGCCTTCTTTCGGGTTCTTGAAAAGGAAATACTAAGTTTTGTTACCTGTTGCGTACTTGATCATCGATACGAAGAATAAAGTTACCCAACTGAATAAGGTACAGATGAAAGTCTTTGACGTAGAGCAAACTTCTAAGACGACAGAATTATACGTAGATACAGTTCAGAGGCTTGGCCCAATGGAAGATGATGAGAGATATAGGGTAGCCAAAAGCATGACCTCCATTGAAACAAGGGCTGTCTAGAGGAGGAAAGAAAACTTAGGACCTTAACCCTAAGTAATAAGAACCTTTAAGTGAGTTTAGCCTAAGCTTAGGGGACTATTTACTTAGTTTATTTTGACACCCTATATCAAGGTTCGGTGTTTTCTTGCCCCCCCGAGGGCTGTCAAGGCAGTTCAGGGACAGCTATTCCCTCTTATACCCGAGATCCCGTGGGTTAGGGGTACAAAATCAGCAGAAGACGTCAGTTCATATTCGTCCCTTTGTGATACTTCCAGGGTTTCCCCGAACGTATTCGTTTCCGTATCTCCACGCTGTATGAATGAATCGACAATGGATTGTCGAACCATGATCTTGACTTTAAGTATTCAGATGAAAATTTACCAAGGACAATGCATCATCATGGACAGAACTGCAGTAAATTTTATTCTTATACAGTGCGATGAGGTCTCAATGTATAATAAACCATGGACCATTCCGCAGTGAAGAACGCACTATCGATTGACTCAGTATATCATACTCTCACAATAACAGCACGATCTTCGTGGCTTAGTGTTGCGGTGAAGATGTACTTTAACAACTTCCCCTTTTAAGGCTGAATTACCTCGAGCTGAATCGTTCGATATCTCGTCTTCGTGATATCGGAAAATAAATGGTCCTCGATCCAGAGTGGAACATCAATTCCAATTGTAAAAGCCAATTGGTTGACAAGCACTCGGGCCCTGAGAAGCCGGAACAGACCACCTCAGTCAACATAAGAGACGGTATTAACCCTTGTTATTTTGTTTTCTGGTGGCTAACGAGGTACTGAATTGGTGCTGAATAGAGCTATTGCTCGCCCGGGCTCGTTCGGAGCTCATCATGCGATTCTCATTCAAAGACGACCGTTACTGGCTCCGATACTTGACGAATCTCATCTCGAGCATAGGAATTCTCCAATGGGAGCTGTAGAGGTTTCTGTATTCGTATTTACATTCTGACGGGAATTGTATGTTTTTGATATCCCTTCACATACATACAGCGTATCAATTGACTTCAATGGCAAAGATCCCTTCTTGTTCGTCCAAGTCACTAGGAGCTCCTCTTCTCGTACGTCCTACATCACAAGATAAATCTAGAAGCTCTCACTTGCAAGCTCCCCAATTGGCTCAGTCGAGCTCCAAAGACCCTTTCTAGAACTCCACCTGTCTCTGCATCCCTGACAGAAACGACGGCCCCGCCTCGCAAGCCGCCGATGGACCCTTGTAGTATCAGACAATGTGATTTCCCTTCCCTTGGTCGATTCATTGATAAAGAAGACGAGGCCCCTTCTGTGAATATATTTGGTTTTCTAGATCATTGCGTTTTGTAGGGAGTTCTCAGTGATTGTTTGTTCTGCTTGGTTGACCCTTAACCTAAGTTCGTTGTGTTTCTCTTGGTCACTTACACCAGTCTTCGCACCATCACTTATACAACAAGTCCACTCATTTATCTACCCGCGGCTTTATAACTTTGCAAGAAACCCAATTTCCAACCATGGACGTCGTCCTCGAGGTCGTCGATACATTTATCGCCGATTACGCATACGCCTACTTTCACCCAAAGCCTCCAGCTCCTTATGATTTCCCGTCGCCCTCAAACTCGACAGATACGTCGGCCAAGGCCTTCTCAACATGGACTTACAAGCCGGCCACTCAATTCATCACCCTTGAGCCAGCAGAGGAGGCATACATGAGCGCTTGGGATCGTGACAACCCTCTTCGACAAGCCCTGACTCTATATCTCATCACTTGGTCAGTCTTCATTCTGAGATTGGTGGATTCAGCTAACAACCTTTAGGATCTTTGGGCTTCTCGTCTACTTCATCGTCGCGACACTCTCATATATCTTCATCTTCGACAAGCGAACATTTGACCATCCTCGCTTCATCAAGAACCAAGTCCGCCTTGAAATCATTGCAGCCAACAAGGCCATGCCCGTTATGGCCATCATCACGGCACCATTCTTCCTCCTTGAAGTGCGCGGATACGGCAAACTCTACGACACCACCGAAGATGGACCCGGGCTCTGGTACGACTTCTTCCAGTTCCCACTCTTCCTCCTCTTTACCGACTTCTGTATCTACTGGGCTCATCGCTGGCTTCACCACCGCCTGGTCTACAAGTATCTGCACAAGCTTCACCACAAGTGGATCATGCCTACGCCCTTTGCTAGCCATGCTTTCCACCCCCTCGATGGCTTCACCCAGTCATTGCCATACCACATCTTCCCCTTTATCTTCCCGCTCCAGAAGATGGCATATGTGGCGCTCTTCGTGTTCGTGAACCTCTGGTCAGTCATGATCCACGATGGCGAGTATCTCACCAACAACCCCGTTGTCAACGGCGCTGCTTGCCACTCTCTTCACCACTCTCGCTTTGAAGTCAATTACGGCCAGTTCTTCACTGGCTTCGACCGTATGGGTGGAACATATCTCATGCCTGAGCAGTGGATGTTTGAGCGTAATATGAAGATGTCAGAGGGTCGATGGAAGAAGGAGATTGAGAAGGTCGATGAGCTTATTGAAGAGATTGAAGGTAAAGACAACCGTACATACGGTTCGTCTAGCACCAAGAAGACTCAATAGATGTGCTTCTGGCTAGCCCTCAAGTCCATTGCCAGTTTCTGGCAAACCGGAGTTGGTCACTTTCATGCATCAAGACCAAATCTTGGGCGTTCTCGTCAGCAGAACAGGCACTTGTCACTAAGCGTCAGTAAATGACCATGCTAGTTGACAAGTTTGCCCGTCCCCCGGTCTAGCGTTGGGCATTCTCTGTATATAGATTTCGACCTTTGTATGGGTGTTCACTCACTCACTCACTCACTCACTCACGGCGTTTGGCGGAGATCACATGATATGATGAATTCATCGATTGCATATTTGGTGCTAGCAGATAAGAAAAGTACAATAGCTGACTAGGCAGACGGAGTCTACTCAGTTAATAATAACCATTTCGCATCCCACCTTAACTCCTTGCCTTGCAGATCATATGTGATGAGCGCAGGCTGCTGATATCAAATCCTTTATTCAACAATCCAACAAACGCTGCCGAAACATAGAGGAACAGGGAAAACGCATAACAAATCAGGGAAACCAAAAAGACTCGATAGGTATAGGAAATTGCATCTGGTGTGCCAACGTAAAAAGTGTTTCGAGTCAAGCAATCTATCGCTTCGACATAGTGTAGTTTTAGAATGATGCGGGAGCATCAAACTTTGTAGAATAGGAATTGTAATGATAACAATAATCGGAGAGTCGAATTCGTAGTCGAATATCGTCGTTTGCTACGTTTCTCGTCGGATGTTTCGCATGTTCACGCAACTCCTATGAGAAGCTCACGAACTTCGGATCCCTCGGTAATCCATCAGCGCCAATACCGTTGGCCTTGAATCGGTTCTCCATGTAGACCTTCCTCGCCTGGTCAAAGTTCATCCTCCTCTTCTTCATGATAGCGAGAACCTCAGCCTTGGCCGCATCGTCGAGACCAGCGCGCGAATCGCCTGATTCGACATTTCCAGAGAGATCAAATGTATTGCTGGAAAGACCGGCCTCGATATCGCCTGCGAAGCTGTTCGGGAGTCGCGAGTAGATGTAGTCTGCGCCAGGGAGTCTGGGTCGTAGATGTTGGACGTGGGGGATCCAGTGGGCGCGGGTGAAGAAGAGGACTGTGCCGAGGACGAGGGCGAAGAAGGAGATCGAGTAGAGAAGATACGACATGTTGGGCGAGTTTGTATTGTATTAAAGAGAAAGATGGTTGGTAGTGGAGGTCGATCGACAGATTTATGTGCAACGCAGCGATACGATCGGGGGACAAAAGAGAGGAACGGCCAAGTCGCAGGCGTGTAAAAGAGAATAGAACTTCAAAGTTGCATGATCAATAAGTAGCCCGTCTCTAGTCAAAGACGGACTATAAAAACTCGCAAGTGCAGAGTTTATTAGTCGTGGTTTGATATTTCTCGGCCTCCGCAAAGCAAAGCAAGGTCCGGATTTGAATAAGTGCAAGTGGAAGTCCGGCAAGAAAAGTGAAAAGACGAGCCTCCTTCGCTTTGTCTCAGGAATGAAAGTGCTGACGTGACTCTGTTTGCGAGGCCTCGGGCTCCCTCTCCCAATCAATTAAGCCACGCGTTTTCTGGCTTGGCACAGCCACTACAGGCACAAGGACACGCAAGTTGGTTCTGAAGTTGTTTATTGAAAGATAGAGGAGGCATATACGCTGTAATATCGATCTCAATCACTGAACCGAGCAATGTGCCCTTCCTGTCACTAATAGGAATGAACTTTGAATGTCTTATTATATGACATCAGGGGTCGGTCGTATCAACCCATTCGCCTCTCGACTCTGTTCCAATGAATTTACCCACTGACACTCTGGCCCAGTCTTTCGATGCTCCCGCCCGTCGGAGCCCCCTTTGGCCAGTAAAGTCAGCATGCATGGGTGTCTAGCCCTGTTGGGCAAGCTAGGCGAGCCCCACAATTTCTCTACGCACAATTCTCGCCGACTTTGGTGAATAGTCTTTGGAACTGGATATCTCGACGACGACAACTCCAAGCTTCACTCTCCCCGGTCAATTTTCACGCCAAAACCTCCATTCACAATGTCTACCGCCCAGGAGCTCTCCAACATTTCCTCGGACCTGATCTGGGAGATCGTCCGTGAGTCTCCCTTCGACGAATTTCTCATCTGATATTATGAATTTTGGCCTACGATATGCGCCTTGTTATTGAAGAAGTCAATTACTGAAACGTTTTTGCGATCGCGCAGGTGACAACAACTGCTTCTCCGCCAAGAGCAAGAAGAACGGCGGCGTTCAGTTCTCCCGAGACCCCCTTAACCTGACCAACAAGACTTCTCGCAAGGTACGATTCTGTTCCCGAGTTTTGATACCCTCTTGGATATTCGAGGGGTCATGGTAGATCGTGTGCGCTAACTCACCTCACAGCACGCTGGTTTCGTCAACGACAAGGTACGACCACAGCAGCCCCGATGAAGATGTCTCGACTCGATGAACGTACGATGCTAAACAAACCGAATTAACAGGCCCTCGGTATCACCTCTGGCGAGAAGGGTGCTATTGTTGTCACCTCCAAGAAGGCTCAGCCCAACAAGCCCGCCCAGAACCTTGTCAAGACCTCTTACAGCGGATCCAAGAGCAACCGCAAGTGAGTATTCGACTGCCCACAACGTCGTTGTTATTCGACATCGAACGTTGGCGGAACGGGGCTGACCGCGATTCTTTCGCATAGGACCTACCAGGCCGTTGCCAACCAGGCTGCCAAGAACGGTTACCGTGCTGACCTCCGCTCCGCTGCCGTTGAGCGTGCCTCCGCCCTCAAGAAGTCCAACAAGCCTGTCAAGCCCGAGCCCGAGCAGAAGCTCCGTGGCAACAAGGCCAAGAAGGCCGCCGCCGCTGCTGAGGAGAACTAAGCTGTCTAATACCAAGATAGAAATGTATTGTGAATAAGGCTGGGCATGAAGCTAGGGAGGCAAGCTGCATAGCCCACAACTGATGAAAAAGAGATCAGTGTGGGAATAGCACATGAACCGAGGTCTCTGGGTCATTCACTGCTGGAGTTAGTGAGCTCAAAATGAATGAATATCTCGCTGGCAATATCGCCGGCAACCCGAAATTTGTTTCTCCAGAATAAGAGAGTGTATGTTCGTGAATGTATGATGCAAGTCATGTCAACAACCATTGAGGCCGAACTACGTTTTGATGTACTGAACCTTCAGTGACGTAGCGCAAGAGTCTTGGCCAATAATTAAATACATGATTGACATGGTCGGCCTGGACAAAGCCTGCACTAGCCAGTTCTCTGATCATCCATCTGTGGAGGCTCACGATCTTGTCTGGATGGATGTATAAGTGCGAAGCGGTAGAATTCGGGTCATGACTTCGGTACCACGGGATACCGAGGATCATGCCGAGTGTCAAGACGCCGAGGATCCTCATGAATGCGATGCAAGACGTCACCGTCCCGGATAAGTTCGGAGCAATATTTTGAATATTAAGATCATATGTCGGAATGTTTTGATGCTCAAAGCCTCATGTAGCCACAATCCGGAACTAGTTTTCTTGAGTTAGACGCATGTCAATCTCCAGACGCTGACCAAGGTGAAGGGCATGAAACATGGTTGGTGCAATAGACGCAAGTCATCCACCGAAGTCAGTTTCTGAACGACAAATATCCGGCTGCCATACGGTATGAGGCATATCAACATCCGGATGCTGGAGGCTACTATCCACCGAAGTATCGGAAAAAGACGAAACTTGTTTGACAAGGTATCAATGAAGATTCGTGATGATGTTTCAAATGACTTGGCTCATACTCAAGGTGAGCTAATAACAGCCAACCACCAAGGTTGCAGAGATGCATTGCGAAATTTCCAAATTTGGTAACGGGGAGGGATCAGCCGCCCCCTCACCTTGGTGGCTTAGTCTGTTAATCTTCTGCAAACAGTGAATTCTTGCAACGAGAGGGTATTGTCCACTTATAAGTTACAGACTCTGTAAGAGAAGAAACAGAGCGAGTAATACACAAGGTGGGGTTTACACGATAGAATTACCAACAGTTTCATATGAGCGACTTGTTGGATTGTCCTCGTGGAGCTTGGTTGGACAATTGAGTTTGGATCTGGTGTGCTCACCGGAGTTGGGTCGGGGTAAAGATCGCTCCCAACTCGGGGTTGCGACGGTCAGGCCCGGTGAGTTGTCCAGACGGGAGCTGTCGAGTTGGAGGTGCAGGGGAGCATCGGTCCCTTGACAGCCTTCCCCACGGGACGCTGGATGTGAGGGTTCAGATTCCAGAAGCGAACCAGACTCAGGTCCGCGATCTTTAGCATAGTCTGTCGAAACAAGATTGATCTACCATCAATGTTGATTGGTATAAGACCCAATCGAATATAGCGGACGATGGGGAATCTGATGCACGAAGTGGTCAGGGCTTGTCCGTTGCTCCGTTGCTATCGTGCGTCGTTCTCCATTAGAATTTATAGTCTGTCCGTAGGACCCCTCCAAAAAGAGAAGGGAAAACAGTATAGGGCGCTTGCGCACCAGTCTCAGCGCAAGGCTTTGCGCCAAGTATTGCGCCAGGTCTCTGACAACTGGAGCGGATCGCCATTGCGAGTCAAAGTGGGCGGGCGAGAGGGGAGAAATATCAATGGGTGAAGGGAAAGATGAAATCCATGATTGTGGAGGCATGTCAGTTACCTAAGGGTGTAGGTAGTCTGAGATAATATCATGAGTATTAGCAAAAGCCCCCCCCCGCAACCATCAAAGTCCTCCGGAACTGTGGGTGATATCAGGACAGTAACGTAATTATTCTAAATGCAAACTCGTGATAGATGGTAACAAGCAATCAGGAGCTGGCGAAAGAGAGGCGAGATGATGATGGCGCTCCTCTTGGTTCGACAGTTCAATAGGCCTGGCAATGGGCAGTGGGTTCTGGACTGTGGATGATGCCCCTCAATTGTTGACGATAGCCATTGACCCTTGCAAGGAGGGGTCTCCTTGAGCGTGCATGGAACTGGAACCCCCCACTAGAGCTCCCAAAGTTGCACAGCTCTTTTCTGCTGCTTTCCCCGCTCGACATCTGGCACCTAGGCTGTCGCACATGTCTGCGGTAGAAAAGATGGAGGCAAATATAGACGCCTGTGATAATCTCGGACATGTAATTTGCCAGCCCAGCCCCAGCTCCGTGAACCGCCGTAAAGGTTCCCGGTCAGCTCGGAGAGAATAACTCGGGCACTGAAGTAATGCAATGCAATAGAGCAGTGCTATGATGCCTCAGCAAGGGGACTAAGTAAGGCATATCCATTAGAATACGTCGGGATTGTCTCAGCGGGCTTGAAGGGTACCCGTATGGAGAGCTGCCCTGGGCTGTATATGGAACTAACTCACCTTAGCAGAGTACGGCAGGTATCGCCGTGGAGGTTGCCAGTAGCTGCCCAGTCTCCTCCGTCCCTCGTATCGCATTAACCACCCTCGAGGCTCTTTCTCTACATTACTTATTTGAACCCTCTCCCACTTCCTGACCCTCCTCCCACTCTCCTCATTCTTCCCACATCTTGACTCTTCCATCCGAGCTCTTCGTCCATTACCATCTCTTCTCTTTTTCAAAAAGTCTCAACAGAGCAACTACCCCTCCTTCAATCCAAATATACCTGTAAAATCAGTCAAAATGGTCAAGGCTGGTACGTACAAGCGCCGTCTCACTCACCCCTTCACCTTGATGTCTCCATATGACATTCGCGCTCTTCACACCTTGGGTGTTGTCTCAGCACTTTTCAGAGTAATAATTGACATTGTCTATAGTTGTTGCTGGCGCCTCTGGTGGCATTGGTCAGGTACGTTGAAACTTGCTCACTCAAATCTTGAAATTACACCAGCTGACATTGATCGATATACAGCCTCTTTCTCTTCTCCTTAAGACATCCCCTCATATCGACGAGCTTGCTCTCTACGATGTCGTCAACACCCCCGGCGTTGCCACCGATCTCTCCCACATCTCCTCCCGCGCTGTGAGTCGACCCCGGATTTTCCCCAGTCGAACATGCATAATTCCCTTCCACCGAAACACACTATTTGCTCACACCCTCTGCAGAAGACAACTGGCTACCTTCCCGCCAACGATGGCGCTAAGGCTGCTTTCAAGGACGCCGACATCATTGTCATCCCCGCTGGCATTCCCCGTATGTGAAGCTCTTACCCCGGACATCCGG